TGGATAACAAGGGCCCACTGTACTTGCTATTACTACTGTGCAATCAATTTGCATGTCTGCAAAAGGAACAGTGTTGACACCTCACAAGCTTGAAAGTGAAAGAGTTGGAAGTTCTGAGCAGGAGGAGATCAGTGGCTCACCCAACTGCTGACACCACTTTCCCCTGCACAGTCTCCACACCTAGGAGATTCTCTGGAGTTTTCAGCCTGATCCAGAACAAAGGGGGACTCTTTTTACTCTGGAAAATCACCTTGGAGCAAGGATTGAGTCCATGTTCCTCCTGTGCAGACACCACCTGAGTTGCCTGAACTCAGAAACTTTTGAAATTAACAGAGGAAATATATTTCTACCCTAGCTGACAACTGTTGACTACTCTAGGGTAGGGACAGCTGGCAAGTCTTTTTCAACATGTTCTACATGGAAATCTCTCCATTTTAACATTCTGCACTAAAGGAGCAAAGTTTTAGAAAGCATTCACTGTAAATGGGAAAATTCAAAGGGGCATGTTTCAGTAGTCTACCGACAGCGTATTTCATGTCACCAAATTTAAATTTGTGCTCAAATAACAGAAAATTAAAACATCACAGAATATAAAGTTACAGTTTTGCACCAAGTTTGTTGCATGAAGCTACATCAAGTTAACAGCCCTAGTGCTGCCTAAGGCACAAGCAGAGGTGGTGAAATTTTGTGTCTACAAATATTAATTTATCAGGAAAATCTGTTTGCAAGTACTGAATTTTTCCATGCCTTCCTGAGAAAGCTGTGCCTAAGCAATTTGCCCATAGCGATGTACACTGTAAAGCCACCATACTAAGGAGTCACCTTGGTAAACCAGAGGAAGTCCTGCATGAGCAGGCAGGAATAAGTGTCATCTATCTCCACCACAGGGATCTGATCCTCATGTGTCACCAATATGTTGTCATCCTTGTAGAATATTGATGCCAGATACAGGCCCCTTGGAGGAATGAAAATATTTAGTTTAGGATTCTGTCACACGGGGAATGAGAGGAAAGGTAGAACGGGGTATTCCCCCCTCCCCAGAGTAACTGAAAAACATAGAAATGGAAGGACAGAAGTCACTCCCCTCTCTAGGAAATTGGTAAAAAGTGAGGAAGGGATGTACACAAGGCAATTTATTCCTCCCACTCACCTATACTCTTACCTTTTCAGTGTCTTCAAGAATTTGCTACCCGGGTGGAAGAGATACTTTAGGCTCTTGGAGACAGAGTGCTTTCTGCTCTGTGGCTGATTCTTACAAGGCTCTAAGAAACAGAGTCCACACAAAAGTCATTATACTAACCATTACATATACACACCAGCCACCCCAATCCTATTCCACATCCCTAACCCTGGTACATAAAGTGTGCATGTCTTCAGTCATGATTCTTGAGAAATTTGCAGTATGGTAGCACAGGACGTTGGATGAGATACTAAGCATCCCCACATTATTCCAACCAACAACATCAAGCTATCTTGCAATTTATATGTGCTAATGACTTGAAGAGAGACAGCATGACGTAGTGGTTTGAGCTTCGGGCTACGGCTCTGGAGACCAGGGTTCAAATCCCTGCTTGGTCATGGAAACCCACTGGGAGACTTTGGGCAAATCCCATTCTCTCAGCCACAGAGGAAGGCAGAAGCAAGCCCCCCTCGGAATAAATCTTGACAAGAAAATCCTGTGATAGGCTTGTCTTAGGCTCAAACAACCTGAAGGCATACAACAACAACAAAGATGTGAAGCCAAATGTTCAGCTTATTAGTGAAAATCAAGGAATTTGTTCCTCACTGTCTTATGGCCAAGTGTACCCAAGTCTTGTCCTAGTTTTTGTGCAATGGTTTCCCAGCAGCTTCATCTTCTAGCTTTTCAGCAACTCTCTCCCCTTGAGCCTTAACTTTCCCCACTCATCCATTCTTAAGAAAGTTGTTAGCTATTTTTTCCCATTTTCTCACCATGCTGTGTAATGAGACCATAACCATCAGCACCAGCACCTTCCAGGATTTCTTTCTACTTTACACTGTTTGTTCTATAGCTTTGCTCCTCAAAGAGGAATGGCAGTAAGCATTCCATCTCTAGGGCGAACTAACAGACAAGCGACAACCAGTTTTTAGCCTATTATATATGTATACAAGATAAGGATTACAAAGCACTATTAAAAATGATGCATATTACTTTAATTGTGTGCTATAACTCCTATTACGTCTACCTTAATAACTTTGTGAAGAATGTCATAATTATTATAATTTAAAAGGCAGAAGAGAAACAAAAGAAACAGCAACCTCTCCATTTATTCCAAACGGGATTCAAGAAAGATTTTTTTTAAGTTGTTGGATTTGTAGCTTTAAATCACATGTCTAAAAGCTGAAGTAGTTGAACTCAACGCCTACACTCCACCAACTTGTTCCTGTGTGGCTTCAAATTGTTCCCAATGTATGGCAACCCTAACTGAACCTATCATATGTTCAGAGGAGGTTTGTCCTTGTCTCCTCTGAGGCTGAGAATGTGTGACTTGCTCAAGGTCATGTAGTGGGTTTCCTTGTAAGGATTTGAATCCTAGTAAAATTGTGGAGAATCAAGGATAGAGTCTGTAGATTTCACTGAGGGCCTAATTCCCCCCTCCATTATTTGTGCACCGACTTCCAATTGTTGAGTATTTTGACTCTGGTTAATATTTATTTGTTGCATCACAGAGCTGTGTTAACAAGCAGGTTCAAGTAAGGACTGGAAATGACTAACTTACTGTAAGAGAAAGGGATTATTGCCTGGAAGGGGACCAGAGTTACAACAAACTAATTTCAAAATTCAGTTTTGCAACCTGAGAGGAGCCCTAATCCATCCCTTAGTTGCTTATATTTTCTCTTCTTGATCTATGGATAGGTGTTCCTTCTGAGATGCCACAAGCTTGTTTTCCTCACTAGCTTTCTTCTTCTGCCTGGAGCATGCATAGTTTGGTCAAAATTCACTTTGACGGCAACAAAGACCCTGGCAATTATCTTATAACCACTGAGAGTCTTGGTATGGGTGTAATGAAAAGCCACTGAGTGTTTTATTTGGGTTGGCATTGATCAGCCAGGATCAGCATCACTATTATATAGAGGGGAAATTATTGTACATTCCAATCAAAGTTTTTATTTGTTTCTTCCTTAGCAGAAACTTTTCCAGAGACTAGTATCCAAATTGGCTGTAGATTCAAAGGAGGACTCACCGTGACACACACAGTGTTGGTGCACCATTTTCACCTGGTTGAGGAGGTGGTCCAAAGCTTCCGCTTGACCTCTTCGCCGCGGTGCTCGCCCATCATACTCTCTCCAGTCTGAAGTGGAAAGAAGACCAAATAAACAGGGCAGCAGCAGCAACCTTGGCAAAGAGTTCCTGGCTGAGCGCCTTCTGATCCTTCACAGTACTTCTTCTGCCTCAAAACCATTTCATTATCTTCTGCCTCCTACTTAGAATCGTAGAATCATAGAGTTGGAAGAAACCACAAGTGCCATCCAGTCAAACCCCCCTGCCATGCAGGAACTCACAATCAAAACACCCCCAACAGCTGGCCATCCAGCCTCTGTTTAAAGATCTCCAAAGAAGGAGACTCCACC